GCGATCTAGTTTAGGAAATATTCACGCTCCGAGTCAACATCTGTGCGTACATAAATGAGAACTCAACGTACGAGACTCTATCCCCCAAAGCCCTCGTTCTTATCTTCGCTCTGCGACCCCCGAACGGACATTCTAGCTGATGAACACGCATCGGTCCGGAAGATATAGATGGGCCCGGCCGATTCGCTGGAGTATATTCACCGTCCCGCGGACAGAGTTGCCGAACAAACCTCGATTTCTCAAATGGATCGTGGAAATAATTGGTACGATCCTTCGGGTGGCGAGTGAACGCTTCTCGCCAGAGTCGATCGCGAGCGCTACCTGAGTTCAAACCTGAACTTACATGCATAGGCCACGTTTTCATGCATGATGAACGCAATGAATTCGAAATTGGCAGAATAATCTAATGATATGCTTCACCTTATTCAGTTTTAATTTCTTCCCGAGGCGAACCCTCATCATGAGAAGATGATGAGAGTAGGTATCCTCGAATGTTAATGTGACTGATTCATCCCCTTCTAGTGCTGTCTCTGTATGTAATCGGATTGAGTATCGCCAATCGAAATGACACTTTTCGACGGATAACTCCCATTCTCATAACTCAAGGCCCTCGGCAACATCGGACGAGATCCTTCCGAATGGCCTCCCGCGGGAATGGAACTTGCTCGTGTTGCTCCGAAAGTCCTCGCTCCGAAAGCAATTAAATAAGTGCCTCTATGGAATTAGCATGTCTTGGCCGAAAGGTCTTCTCTCACGATTCTTTTGGTTTTAAGTTTCCACGGATCGTCTCTCGCTCAAACTACGCTACGAGCGTAAGCGCTTGAGGGTTTTCGTCCTCCCCTACATTTTCTCACGTCTGTCGGTTCGGGATCTCCATCGGTCTTCCCAATCGAGTAAACGCCGAAGATTTCTACAACGAGACGACTCCCGATAATATTGCGCTGATGGTTTCAGAGCCGTTGGTACATACGGCAGAATGGTGAAGTGGAGTCTACGAGGATGAGTCTGATGGCGTCGTAGAAGCATACTTCATCTTGACCCGGGAATAGCTCAGCGTTTCCATCGAGGACTACAACTCTTAAAGTGGGAGTAAGTCTCTCATCCTCAATTATTGTCCTGGTCACCCGCTCCCCGCGAAGTCATGACTCATGACGTTCCTGGAGTTTGTAGCCTCCCTCGCGGAATTCGGAACCGAGGGTCCGATCATCCGACCCGAGTCCGGAACGTCCGAGGTCACCCTTGTCTGTGGGGGGCTCTTCACCAGCCTCGAAGTTCCGAGCATACGGAGAGAATTCGTTCCTACCTTTTTCCCGAAGTTTCACTCTAGATGTCGGGGAGCTCTCCATGAGCCCCTGAGCTCCGTGGATTCATTGGAAATCTAATGAATTCCGTGAAATCTCCGGTGCGTCTGAGCTCGTTGCGCTTGGAAGTCAGTTGAGAAGAGGCTCTGGTCATAGCCCCCTCATCCCCTCCCTGAGGGAACCCCTGGCGCTTGTCGTCGCTGCAACGCAACCGCATAGAATGATAGACGTGTCGCTGAGGCCCCTTGGCTTCCAGTTTGTTTGAAGAGAACAGGGCACCGGACAAGCTTTTGCAGATAGGATACTCTTTAAGAAGAGCCGCTCCGCGCCGCACCGTCGCGTCGGCTGGAAGGACTCGAGACACCTCACATGAATCTTAGTTCGACGGGACGGGTAGACGAGGGAGCAAGCTTCGAGCCGTGTCGGTCATTGCTTTGACGCTCTGAGACGGATCGATCGTGGTCGGTGCGACCGGTCTATCCTGTTCGGCGCGACTCAAGGAGGAGGGACAATCCAAACTTCCGCCCTCCGAAAGCATTCGCTCTCGTCTCGCATCCAGAGCTTCTGGGAGAAGGCAAGTCTGTCGCATGTTTTCAGGGCATACCTGCCCTTGACAGAGAAGCGGAGCGCCCTGAATAGTTGTTCATGATCCAGAACTGCATGACCGTTGAGATCCATGTCATATGAACCAGTACTGTCGAGTTGCCAGTGAGCATCTGATCTCTTTCAAAGAGAGCGCTGCCGCTTCGGCGATCTGATCGATTCGGTGGGGGGCGCCTGTGTTCTGGATCAAGACAGAGGAATAACTCCGACAGCGACTGAGGTCGAGTCCGAAACCGCGAGTTTATGAGCTTTTGCGGTTGTGGAGTCGAGCGCGCGCGTCGCCGGCGTCCCACTGAAGGTTTCGAGAATTGGCACTAGCGACTCAATTCGAATCGTACTCATCAGTCAAATCCATGATAGGCCCTCTTAATGTATTCCGAGAAGACGAACTCCATTATGAACAAGCATCCTTGTTACTTCCTAGTTCAATGACGGAGATCTGTGGCCCCCTCGTTTTCCGGATCTGTCATCGCCGCGGGATGGTATATCAGATCCTCAGGAAAGTGATTCATGATTTCGGCGCGACCATTGTCGAATTCGGGACGATAACTCCAAGCCTAAATTTGTACGGATATGCGAGGAGACCGGGTTTCTTCTCGTTGATGTCGTTAATGCGCATGACGATGGACTCGGGAATCGCATGCGGCAGATCACGTTGTACGGTCACGAAGAGATGAGCAATCGTCCTGAGGGTGACGAGGTCCGAACGAATGAAGATTACAGACTCGGCAGGATATAATTTCGCCTGACTGACTTCCAGCTTCGATCAATTTCGCGGGCCGTCGAGTCCTCACAAAAATCCCTCCCTCCAAGTCTGAAAAAACGTGAAAAGGCTTCGAGTGCTTTTTTCAACTTGGAAAGATTGGAGGAACGGCTGGGTGGTCAGCGCTCGGCACGTCTTGCTGACTCAAACGCCTCGGACATTCCACCCTTGAGCGTCTCGCACTTTTTCCGTGGCTAATCTTGTCCCGCAGGGTGTCGATGGGGGACCGATTTTCTCCACGGTCGTGGCCGCGCCGCGCGTACATAAGCCGCTCTGTCTTGCTTGTTTGCCCTTCTTGAGTTCCCCGACAAAGAAATCGGGGTTAGAGACGGAGCGCAGCCCTGAGCTCCTGTGTGTTTCTTGATGAACTTTTTGGGCGACACGCGGTCATCTTCTTTGTTCGAGTGTGTAAACAAAACACAAACATCTGTTTTCCTGAACCCTCATAGAGCAGAGGCGCAGGTGAAGAGAGCTGTTTGAAAACGAGTAATCGAATCATGGGGATTCTTGCACTATGAGTCCGCGCGCAATTCATGCAGATTCATCCGATTCATTAGCCCCATGTCGATGCGAAGCCCTGCAATCATCACGCATCATTTCTAATCTGGCATGATGGTTCAGGTGTGGATATTGTTCTCGTTGTGGGCTGCTCATCAGCAGTGGCCTGTCGACAGACGTCTGAGACGATTCTGCCGTACAAAGCAAGCGAAGCCATCCGGTCACAGAATTTAGGAATAAGCCGCTGGATATCGCGCGCGAAATCACAGCTGAGTCTCAGACGTGTATTGACAAGGGGGGCATGTATTGTATCCTTCCATGAGCACCACAGGATTTTGGGATAACATTAGCATATTTTATTCATTTCTATATTCATCAAACTATGGACAGTGTAACAAAGGGATGCATTCTATGACTTCGTATGCCGTTCAAAAACTCTCGGATCGGTTCCCCGATATATAAATAGGTATTTTGGGATCTGGCCGATCTCAACGTGGATATTCGTTCTTGGTCTCTACGTCTACATTGTGGATCTCATTCCGAGACTTTGGCGAGCGCGATCGAGGGAAACCAGCATATGGACAGATTTCGGTTTTCTTACAATCAACCACCGTACATTCGAAATCTTCGTTCATATATGTCGTGTGCTGTGGGATATGAAAAGAGAATCAATGAACACCTTGAAGAATCCTTCCTTCCGAGACATTGGCTTCCTTCGATTCTGTATCAGGCACCACCAGGAGATACTCACCGTGCAACATCCTTTCAAGGAGAATTTCTCATGTAGCACGTACGGCTCGACGGTGTCACTCGGATCGGTTTGATTGATGCAGCGCACAATGCATCCCTGTTGCCGGACCGTGAGGAAGCCGTCCGCGCACCGGAAAGCCTCGACAACGCTGAAGATTCGCTCCAGATCGGCATCTGGGAAAAAAAATTCATTTTGAGTACAAAGAGCCTCTCTTACGAGCATCATCATTATCAAGCACACAATAATTCATAGTCATCATACTTGAGGGGCAGGAACCCCGGTTGTATTTTGAAATAACTTACTCAAGCAATATGAGGATTGGATAAGCGCGGAGCCGATGAGCCCAACGATGAGCAGCGGAGTGAGTCCGAGCATTCTGAACGTGAGCGACTTTTTCCCGAAAAAATCGATGAACGCTTGAAGCCCCGATCGAGTCGATATCCGAAAGTCTTCGAGCTGCTGATGCCTGCAGATTATCGATCTGTCGGACGCTTAGGTATTGGAGAGCTCTGAGAGTGGAGCGGTCTTCGGGGAACAGGTTCGGGGCCGAGCGAAAACGCGTCTCGCGGATGACTCGAGGAAGCAGAGCACCAGGATGATTCAACGATCGGGGCTCTGGTCTTTTATGACCGCGTTTCTCCGAAATCCTTCCCCACTGTGGGCGGTCACAGCGACAATAGGGGGCAGACGAACGTACTCAGACGAAGCGGAGAGAGACTTGAGGTTCCGCATGGATGGATATTCAGGCACGAAGAGCTTGAGTTCTGGGAATTTCGCTCGAAGGCTCACTATTTTCTCAGAATCGCGGAGAAAAATGATAGTTTCCCCCTGCTGTCGTTGTCGTGCTCCTTCTCCGCGGGATGGGAATCGTCTTCGAAGAGATACAATAAGTCGTGGGAATGATTCCATCGATGAGTCTCGGAATTCACATCGGGGACCGGAATCGAATCGGAATGATCAGGAGTTGAGGAGATACAGAGAAAACAAGCGTTTTCCTGGTCAAAATGCGTCAGCCGATTGATTTCATTGTTTATTAATGGATGTCGATAAAATTATTTCGTTACCCTAAGGATTTCGTTTGGCGCGGATGAGAACTGCGTTCTAGTTCTGCTACTAGCATGACTGATAAGCATCACTCTTCATCTCCTACAATGATTTCGGCATCATCTTCGCTGAGGGGTGACTCTCGGTGGCTGACAGCGACGCTTGGGTGCAGCTGAAGACGAGCCTCGGCCACTGCGCCGAACAGATGTGCATTCATATGACGGGAGATTTCGTGCATCCTCGGAGTCTGAAAGGAATGTCAATAAATATCTCGATCGCGGAGTCCAGTCCCTCGAGACTTCCCCTGGATCCCTTATAATAGGAGCGGACGCACAGAAGTGAGAGCTTAGCTCGATTGTGCTCATGCAGGGTGACAGCTAGAAATCCACTGAAGTCACGTGAGTGCTCCATCATGTACACATGAGTTTTAAAAATCTACTGAAGTCACTTGAGGGTTCCATCATGTACACACGTGTTTTAGAAAATAAGGAAGATTCTGGAATACTCGCTCACCTGAAACGGACACTGCGGACATCGGAACAATTTATTTCTAGGAAAGCCTGAGCATGAGTGCTCATGGCGACGGAGATTCTGACCGATCGATGTGGTGAAGTCGCAATGATCACAACTGTATTTCGCCTGACCCTGTAAAGGAGATTCCGGTTTGCCTCGCAATCTGTGTACGCTTCCTTGGTGCTTTTCGAACTTGTCTTCGTCCTTAGTCTTGTACGGGCACATCCGACATCTCAGAACGCCTTGCGACGATCGCACCTTGATAGAGAGAGAAATTCCAAGTTTCAGCTCATCGATCATAGATGTTGCGTCGAAATGTGCAGAGAGGGTGAATTTCATGTGTTCGAATATTCTTACCCATTGCAAGACGGATTCAGACTCGTGCATTATTTCTTCTTTCACGCTCTCGTGAATTCGCTTCAAATCATCGAGGGTCAGGTGACCGTCGTCATGCCATCGTCCCCCGGGCAATTGGCGAACTATGGAAACAAGTAATTTTGAGAGATAGGGATCAAGTCTCCAGATTGTCGACGAGCCTGCAACTATTGCGGACTAAATTCTACTCGTCGGATTTTCCGCGAAGGCGATGATGAGAGAGCATCGCTAGTCAATGCTCTGCGGGGAGGCCGAGACATCCCGTATGATCTAAGAATTATCAGAATGAAGACGATTCGAACATGGCAAAAAAATTTCTTTCACTTGGGCATCTCCTGACATAATGAAGCGGTAAATCATCTAGGGGTCTTGACCTTCGAAGCGCTCGCTCGCAAGTCTGGAAGGAGATTGCATTTTTAGTCCACGATCGCCACCGCTCACGCTTGCACAGTCGACAAAGAATCTTTATTCGATGAGATCCCCGATTCCGGATCGACGCTTCTCTCAAATTTTTTTTCGCCGAGAGAGTCAGAGAACCTCGTGCGCGATGAGAGGTCAGCAAACGTCCGTGGAGCTGATTCCCTGGAATGCAGCAGATCAAAACCGTGGAGCCGTAGTAGAGAAATTGCCTTGGGAAAGATTCGAACTCTCGATCGCTTTTCCTTGTGAACACCACATGAATGCTGCGAGATGTTCCAGCCTTTCGGTAGAATCAGTCGAGTACGCTCAGTCTCGGTCGGAAACTTTCATCGCAGAAACGGATCACGGATTTATAACTGCACCAATCGCGAGGAGAAGTTTGCCTGTCCGCCGAGCTAACTGACTCCGGGCGCCGTCGTTCGTTCGTGCAGTTTGGTAGTTGCGCGTAGAGCAGGGAGCCCTTCGATCCGCGCCGAATCGAACTCCCCTTGTCGGCGGGACCGGACCGGGCTGGGGATGATGTCGCTCGATATCGGATATTTTTTCCGATTATTGATCTGCCCTATCAGAGACTATCGGCCGGTCGGTCGGCCGGCCGGGCACCCACCCGCCCGTTCGCTTGCTTGCCTGCTTGGCGTCTGACTCAACGTAGAAGCTCGAGGCAGCTTCCGAAGGACACAATTCTTCATGTGCTGGATTAACACTGAAAACCCAGAGCATTTGAATCCTGAATAATTTAGTCGGGAGGATCCTCCGGCGAGGCGCAAGCGCGAGTCGAAGAGTCCTCTTATCGAAAAAAGGAACTGGTTGAAAAATTCACACGTCGGCTCTTCCGTAGAAAGGAAAACTAAAGATCATTGCGAATCGATATAGCCGCGTTTCGTCGCGCTAGGCAGAATCCAAGGCAATGACATACCAAATCGGAACCGGGTCTGTCAAATGGACTCGACGAAATCTCTGTATCGTTCCGGAGCGGAACGGGTCGACGAGACCATCGACTTTTCTATGGAAATCACTCACGGGGTGGCGATTCCTGAGCTTCCTCTCAAGTGCTTGGAGTCAGATCGTTCCTTCGAGCCGAGTCGCGCACCCGAGGTAAAAATAGGATGACGAACTTCGATGGTCCGGGGATCAAAGATTATCGATTTCCACCGAGCGCGCTCCAAAATTATTCGAACACGATTCCATTACATAGCCTCCTATAACTCCTCACTTGATGCGATCCTCTTGAAGGAGGGGGAAACATCGACAAAGCCCGTAGATTTCTTGTGAGTCCTTCTTCGAATACTCTTTGTGGTGAGCGATTTTTTTTACCAAACGGAGCGCTAAATGTAAGCGCAAACGACAAGCATTTCCCTGGCGGCGCGGACCTCGACGCAGGCACAAAAGCAAAACCGGCATCAGAGGTGTCTGATGAGAGTTTTGAGCGAGCCAAAATGTCCCGAATCGGCATAGGAACAAGTATGGCTGGCGAAACGGGTCTCTTCTGCTCTCGCGAACGGCTGTGGAGTTCCCATCGATCTCCAATAGTCCTATCGATCCGGCCATCGACGGTCGACGGCTGGAAGCCTGCCTGAATATCAGCTAGCCTTTCTGCAGACGAGATCTTCTCGCAGCCCGCTCAGCTTTATGTATTTTCTTCCTGAAAAAAAGGAAGGGTTTCTCCGTTTACTCCAAACATTCCAGACTTACCGCGCGCACACCTGATGCTTCAACTGAGGAGCAGAATCTCCGATTCCTCCGGGAACACACCTCGTAATCCGACGTCTCCTAGTCTGAGAAGAATCAGATCGATCTCGCCTCGCGTGCCGTTCTTCTTCCACTCAGTCAGGGAAATCCTTAGCATGCCCCATCATCATCTTCCACACCGACGCGCGGAGTCCTCAAGGCGCAATCCTCCTGCCGACAACCGAGGACAAGAATTCCTCCGGAATAGGGGTCGCTTCATATGAACTTCCTCTATTCCAGCGGTACGGATATGTGCAATAAGGGTTCACAAGCTCGATTGATGGATGGAGTTCCAACTGTCCTACTCTGTCAAAAGGGGAGACACAAAAGCGTTGTGCTCCAGCGGCACGGTCTCGTCAAAGTGAGAAGCGATGTAAACACGGAGTTTTATAGATCGCTCTGGAGAGGGACTCGAGGGAGGAGGGGCCGCTCTGAGCCTGCTCCTCCATGAACGATGGCTAAGCTCAGGCCACTGATCATAGTGTCGAGGGTGACCCCGCCTCGGTTGCGAAAACCTCTCCCTCCGCTCAAGCAATGATATCCCAGTTCTGCACATACGAAGAGCTAATTCCTCCTGTTTCGGATTATATCTCACCCTAATCCCTCACGGGAGCATAAGAGACTGAAGCGGCTGATGGAACGCGGAGCCACGTGCCGAAAAATTTGTTTGAGGGAAGATTTGGACTCATCGAAGCGACTCAATCAACGTCTTGCATTCACCCGGAAGGCGAAGGGACTGCGAACGATTCTCCGGCAGCCGCCATTGGACACAATCCCTCCCGGTGCAGCCGGAATTCCGTCCCGGAATCCACGCGCATGTCTCACATGACGTGCTGCCGGTCTAGAAGAGCGGAGCCGTGATCATCTCGGCGAATGTTGTTCGTGACGAATTGAAAGGTCCTCTCGTGAGTCGCAGGGCCGGTCAGGGGGCTTCGATGTGAGATCTTAGTTCCAGAGAAGCGAAGCATTTCGATAGGTTCGACTCGAGATTTGTCCAGACTTTTCTCCTTGAGAAATCGAATCTGAATCCCGCACGGAGTTCAGCCTTGAATATCGAATGCTTTGGCTATCGAGAGAGCTATCGTCCCTTCGTCGAGGCAGAAGCCTGCCTTCGATGCGACCTTCCATCAAGACAGCAGCTCCCCCCCCTCCTTCCCCCAGGTATACAATGTTTTGGAGAAAGCGATCATCCGCAGTTCGCCAATCATGGAAACGACAGCTCCAGCACTGCTCGCTGCTGCATGGGTTATTGGCGGACCGACGGAGGATAGGAGGCTGCGGAGCAAAGGCGCGCGGAGGACGGCAGAAGGACCAAGGGAGCCATGCCCCCGGAATTTTTCGGTCGTCATTCTAGAGTATGGACGGCTAGGGAGCGCGTCAACGTTCCGATTGTCTGACATCCTCGCCTCCCCTGGAAAAATCCCTGGCGCGTCCCTTACTCTAGGACGAACACTGAGCCCGATTTACAGGATTGGAGAGAGGATACCCAGGTAGCACCGCCGGACGGCTATCGATCACGCCATACAATATGGGAGACCGGAGGAGAATTGCTCGTTCGAGCCGGCAATTACATCGGGTTCGGCGTCAGCATGAAGTCCTACTGTCATGTAGAGTACTATCATGAACCAGAGCCGAAGATGCGACGAAGAATACGGCATTGTTCCCTCTCAGTTGCTCGAGGAAGGTATGATAAACTGGAGCAGCCTTTCCCGCCCTCTCTCGTCCTAAGAACCCCCCGTACGTGCTCGAGTTCTTCCAATATTACCTGCCGCTGTAGGCCAACCCGCAGGTCGAGGAGTCGACAAGAGGGAAGAAGACTAGGCCTCTCATAACCCAGATTTCCAGCTAACCATTCCCCAAGCCATCCATCCAGAAAGAATGTTTCTGGAAACCCGTCAGCTGATCCGTCGATTGCTGCCTGCTGATTCATCTCCTCTCAGCTGGAGCCGAATACCGATCGCTCCGGATACCCCTCAGAGAAGCTCCACGAGCCGCTAGCTATACGAGTATCCCCCGGTTCTGCAACGCCGGCCCACAAGATGAGAGGTGGAGTGCGATGGAATGAGATTAGGTATCAACCTCCATTGCGTTTGGGAGGGATGACAAGGAGCCGCACATGAGATACGAGCTATCCATGCTGAGGCTCATCATCAACGGTGGTTTGCCCCCACCAAAACAATGGCCCCGTCCCCCCCTTCCCCAGAAAAAAATCCTGGGCACGCGCCTGCATGAACCTCCTGACGAGCTTCAAGGTTCTCTATCACGTGAATCATGATTGAGAGCTCGTGCGGTCATGAGATGGAAAAAGTCCCCCCATGTCTCTGTGCTAGCTGAAAGATCGCGAACGCTTTCCGCGATCTGCGGGAGAAAGAATTCCTCCAGCGTGAAACAAGGAGGTGGCCCATCGGAGACTTCACTTCTACGCCAATCCCCGCGAAGATAGCCGGCGTGGATTCTGGGGATATCTCGCCTTAAATGAGCATGGCTTCCGCCTCCATCGAGATCGGAATTAGCAGCGAGACTCTCGGGGACTCCACGAGGACCTTGGAGCGCGTCGTCACGGTCGTATATCAGCTGACAGGTCCCCCGAATCCTGAGCTTTTCGAACGTACGTGGGAGACTTATGGAGTATCGACTTTGGCGGAATCATCGAAAATTCGAGGGCCCGCGGTGAGGGATCCGGATTCTGAGCCGAAGTCACCGTCAGATACGGACCCGTGAGCGAGTCCGCTCTCTCGCCGGAGCACTCCAAGGCAACGCCAGACATTTCACAACAGACGTTCGAAATAAACATGGATAGTGTACACGACTACCGATGAACACATGATCTCGAGGCTTTATGGGTTCCAGTGGAGACTTGCTCAGAGGATGACGTGAATATTCCCCGACAGACATGTGAGTGTACATAAGCGCAAGCCGCTGTGTGATTTCATTTAGAGTCACAGCACTTTGAACACTAGCAGGTAGTCGGATAGCCATTATCAGTACATAGTAACCCTTGACTAGCATTCGCTCATAATAATCACTCGGGAGGGAGCGATGGAGCGCCCTGCGGTGGTTTCGATTGGGATTCTGAAAGGATTTCGGGCTTGAGATTTTTGGGAGTTTCCCATCAGAGAAGTTTCTAAGCTGCTCGGAGTCTTTCAGTGGCAACTTTCGACTTGGCTGTCTTCGGGGGCAATGTGTAGATACCGTGTTTCCCCGAATATAAGACCTCCCCCGAAAATAAGCCCTGCCTACATTTTCGAGTTTAGCGTTAGAATAAGCCCTCCCCCGAAACTAAGCCCTGGCTGACCAGGAATAGGCTCGGTTGAGAGCTCGGATTTGTTCAAGTCCAAGGCTCTCGTTTTCCTGATTGCGCACCGCGGAGGAAGCACTGACATGAGACAGTGTCAGTGCTGTCTCATGTCAGTGACACTGTCTGCTCTACGCGCAGGTTACCTCGATGGAGCACATAGATTCGAGAACACGTATATCGGCAAACATGAACGACTAGGACCGATACTACGCAGAAAGATCGAAACGCAACATCTTGGGGACCGTCTCCAAGCAATTGACTTTTATGAAGATTTACCAGAGGACGATGACGTTGTTGTTATCGAGTGAAGACAATGGTTGAAGTCTTATCTCGTAGACCGGAATTTCGTCCAATAAATTAAAATAAGCCGTCCCCCGAAAGTAAGCCCCGGAGTCTTTTTTGAGGGTCGAAAGAAAATAAGCCCCTGGCTTATATTCGGGGAAACACGGTAGGTTGAGCTGACGCGAAGCGAATGGTGGGGGATTGAGGAGTCCGGGAAGAATCGACCTAAATGTCTTCGGGATCACTGAAAAGTCATCCGGGAGTTATCGCTGTGGTCCTAACAATCGAAGCGAATGCCAGCCCTTCTTCGGAGCGTCGAGTAGATGCTCGTTCTCAAAAGCTAGTCTTGAAATCAGAGAATGCTCGTCTATGCCTCAATCGAAGCCTGAAGTCCCCATCGTCTCCGATAGTTGAGCATACCAGGGGGGTGCCCCTCTGAGAGAAAGCGCCATCTTCTAGGGAGCGCACCTTCATCTCTCGTCTCGTCAAAAAGGAGCCCGTGTATGAGAAAATGTAGGGAAAAAGCAGTGGTACCAGTTTATCCTCGAGCGCAGCATAGCTCACTCCTGAGGAGAAAAGGATCGTTGTGTGCATATGAGAAGATGAAAGAAGTCGAACACCGATTCACATTCCCTTCCGAAAATCTAAAAAAAAACACAATGTTCTCTGAAATTGCTCCGATCAGATCTGGCGTGAATCAGAATCCGTTAGCTGGCGTACTCTCGCCAGGCTTCCCGTACTCCACGGTCATTTATCCTCTGTCCGTGATATGTTGAACAGTGCATGACCGGCTTAACGCTTCGTAGCACTGCCTGCTTTGGACCTCGGTGTCCGTTATGAAGTGCATTGAACCCTACGTTCACAGGACGGCCTTAGGGCGGGAATGCTTTGGTTGGGAACGCAAGCTGAAGTTCCGGATCTTTCAAAGGGCTTCTTCGAGGGGATCGTCCGCCCCTACGATCGGCTCGTCTCCCCTCATCAACGAAACAGAACTATTACGAGTCTTCCCCGACAGAAAGCTTCGGATTTTCATAGCGTCATGGAACATGAACAGTTCGGTGAGTCGGCCTTGACATGGACCTGTCCTTGTTTCTGTCGCAGTTTTCGACGTCGTATTCATGACTGCAATATCACGGGAAGCGGCGCTTTGAATGATTTTCCCGGAAGCCGATCATCCAACTGTGGAATATTCGAGCGGAAAGCTAAGGAAGTATTCATCCCGCAGATGGGTCCAAAGAATCTGAGCGAACTCTTGATGACCTCAAGCGGGGAAAAAGTCGACATGTATCTCATCGGGACGCAAGAGGGAGCAAACGACAAGTATGCTCAAAATCAATCCCTGGAGTCTTCATGGTAGACAGGTGAATTCCGCAGAATCGAGTTTCGCGAAGTACCGTAGAGTTCCTTCCAGGAGAGAGTGGGAAGTACGACTGCAGCAGGCGCTAATGCCTTCACATGTCCTGTTCCATTCTTGCCATCTGGGAGTGCTACATTTGTGTGTTTTTGTTCAACGGGATCTCATTTGGTACTGCGGCATTCCGCAAGATACTCTGCAATCAACTCGTGCTGGCTCGGCGCTCAAAACAAAAGGAGCCGTATGCACCGCGTTCAGTTTCTTCGGGACATCGATGCTTTTCGTGAATTCGCACCTGACAGGTGAGCCCGAAACAGGCCGACTGCTTCGAGGATGCTGAATATCGTTGACGTTCCTGTCACAATGGAGCGATCTCGCTTATTGAGAACATAGTTGAACATTCTTCATTATCCTCTTCCAGCTCACGAAAACAAGCAGCACAACAGAATCGCTGATTACGAAAAGATTATGCGCACCTTGTTCCCATCAACGGTATCGCTTTCGAAAGTGTCTCCGTCCGGTCCCCCAAAGTTTGACGCAATCTTCTGGTTTGGAGACCTCAACTTTCGATTGGATACGAATTCGGAAACTGTTCTCAAGTAAGCACTCCGAGAGCTCCCCTTTCATGATTCTGGGAGCTCGTTCCTCACCACGGAGCATCTATCGTTCTGATCTCCTTTCCCCGATTCTGAGCTATATTTTTCTGGATGAGAGCACTCAAGCCCATACAGGATGAACGCCATCCCCAAGGCACGGCTCCGAGTAATTAGTAACTCTTTCAGAGTATTAGCGGATCGAGACTACAAATCACTCTTCAAGTTCGATCAGCTTAGGCACGTTATTACGAGTGGAGACGCTTTCTCCGGATTTCACGAAGCCGACATAAACTTTGCGCCAACTTTCAAATACGAGGTCAACTCCAACATGTACGACAAAAACACGATCCGCGTTCCTTCTTACACCGTGAGTCGAAATATCTGAAATTCATTCTTCTGAATATTCGGCATCGGGGACCATCAATCGACACCTCACTGGCTGGGAGCCAGCAGCTTATTGCCGTGAATTTTTTCGAAATGAGCCCCACTCGTTCACAGGATCGAATTCTCTATCGGAGCTCCGAGGGTCAGCCCCTGACAGTCCATTTGTACGACAGTATCGAATGCTTCTCGACGTCTGACCATAAGCCTGTCGTGGGTCTCTTCGAGATCGGTCTAAGGGCGTCCAACGATCCCAGTAGACTCGCCGCAGGATCTTTCCGCAGAGAAGTTTTCATCGAAGGTTGGTGCGATATTAAATGCTTAGCCGCTCATTTTTCCTCCACCATTTCGACCATTGTGTCCGTGAAGTCTATCATCGTTTCCTAGGTTTTCCATTCTCCGTGCTGAGCTCGATACGACGGCGGTTTTCCTCTTCCAGCTCTGAAACGCTCATCGATCCGTAAGAACTTCAGCACCGACGCCGGGAAACCTAGTACTGTTTGCGCCGTGCAGTGATTCTGTTACAGCATTACCTAGTCATCGATCCGGGGCTCCCCGTTGCGTTCGGAAAACCCGGTCTGATCACGCTCACACTTTTCTGTAAAGAATATCTATTTTGCAAGAGTTCCGTTTCAACAATGCGTGATGCTCAGGAAGTGCAGCGGGTGTTCCACTCCGTGAGCCCCTCAGAATACATAGGGAAAAAGTTTCTGGAGACAATTTAGTGAACGATTGAAGCTCATGGAAGTATTGTAAATATAGTTTGTAGCATGGAACTCAGGTTGTGCAGTTTAGGTCGAGAGCCAATAATCCGATCAAAAGTTGTTACGAATGCGATGGATTAACTTAGCCGGTTCCGGTTGAACAATAAAGGGACGGATCTTGAGTTCCTTTCTTTTTCACGCCGCTTCCCCTTCATTAAACGTGGAGCAGAGGCGAAAAAGATCGCGATGAGTCAGCGCGGCATGGACTACCCTTATTTTCGTCTAAGCCGATGAAGATTCAGTAAACAGGGTAGTAACATCGTCGATGGAATAAGTGACGTGCGTAGCATCATGACTCGGACTCCCGGAAATTACCGCAGGCGACGTCACAACTTTCGTCGCATTCAAGTCCAGATAGCCGCTCCCGGGACGAATCCTTTGTGTTCCACGTGACGCCGGATCAAGGAAAGTTTTCCGTGAGACTTCAGGGTCTGACCAGCGTTAGAGGATGCCTCGTGGTTGAGTTTCTGGCATGCTTTAGCTTGGGGTAGGGAGATCAGTGACCCGACATATCCGTCTGCGAGCATGTCTGGATTGAATGAATTCACGCTGGGGGACTTCCTGACCGCGGGTCGCGGAGCCTAAAATCCAGCTGCTCACAAACTACGTCGCCCTAACGATCATTATCATCGATCGGTTCGCGATCCGACCCTCAGCCGTAATCCCGGTGCGGTCGATGTCGTTCTCCCCAACGAGCGCCTTCACCCCAAAACAGCTGAGAGCTCTTGTTTCTGATGCGAGCAGGACGATGATTGCTCTTCTTCCGATCCGAGAGTACTAAGCATCGATTTTCTGCTCGTCACACGTATTCGCGCTTCGGATCGTCGAAGCTGAGGTATCCGCACCCCCCGTCTTTGCCTGCGTTTTTCCTTGGTAGGCGTTTCTGCGGTGGCCATCGGGGTAAACGGTATCTCGGAATCCGATCCCTGCACGAATAGCTCAATGAAAATTCGTTCGCTGTCCTGTGTTTCTGTTGCCAAGGTCTTAAGTGACTCAGCTCTCGTGGCAAAGCAATGTTAACGCCGGCTCTGACGTCGGGACTTCCCTTCCCACTTTTTTCGGCTCTCAACCTTCGGCTCGCATTGCAGTCTGTTATAGCTCAGAAAGCATTGTGCAGAAGCGAGACTTGCACACCAGTGACTGTGCAGTTTCGAGCGACGTGTTGATCGGAGATTTCTCGTTTGGACGTCGGTAAGTTCCACTTTCGCTTCCGATTCATAGGCGACCCAAGATACCTTCTGGGTTGCCCGAGTTTCTGCAAACCGCTGTACCAATTTGAGCGATTCCCGAACTACCGGGACGGACATCGATCCAGGCGTACGTGCCTGTCTTGACGACTTGGACTCCCATCAGTGGTTGTGGCTTGTCGCCGGGAGCCTGCAAAAAGCTCCCGACTCTCCCCGTGGTTTCCTTGGCTGGGAGCAGAGTCGGGTGAAGTCGCGCGCAGCGAGCAATTTCCGATCCCTTCACCGCGGCACGACAGCTAAGGAAAACAAAAAGCGAAAACCAGAAGTACAAACAGTAAGACTTGCGTTGGCATCACATGAAAAGGGGCTGACAACGCTGTCGCTTTCAACTCGCCACGAAAGTAGAATGTATCAGTCTGGCATCCGGGGAACTCGGTTTGAAGCAGAACAAATCCGTAGCATCGGATTGTGTTCCTCGCTGTCAATACGGAGTGTTCCGATCAGAGTCGGACCTCGAGCGATGCTGCTCGGAGGGAAAACCCCGACGAGAATCTCCTCGAATCTTCGACGTAACGCGAAAGCAGCACTCGATGCTTCAGGCCGGAGATTTTGAGGGACAATGGAGAAAAACTGCTCAATCAAAATGACTTTTTCCGATCTCTCATACATACATTGAGAGCTGCTCCAGATACTTTTAGATCTCGTCAGAGAGTTGACGGGTCCTCTGTGACGAGAATCCGCTTCCCTCAAGAAGAAGAGTCTGGACGATCTTCGGATCCCTAAGCGGCTGGCGAAATAAATGGATTACAATGTTGCCCAAGACGTTTCATGTATTCTGTGTCGGCGATCTGGTGGAACATCGGGTCTATGGTCTATCTGCGCGAAGGTTCCGAACCCTGACCAGATTATGTGCCGCTTGGATTCGATTGCGAAAGCGCGCGAAGGTTGCTGATTCAGCAGACGCGTGCGAAATAGTGTGCGGCATGATCTGTCGAAGAATACCTCATCTAATGACTTACGGAAACATAAAGGGGGCACCGTCTGGCCTCATCGGGTATCCCGAATCACAGACTGCGGGTCGCGGTCCCTGGGGAAGGAAAATTCGATAGAAAAGCGACTGCCGATGTACCGGGTCTGTGGATGTCTCCTGTCGATCTTGGTACGGGGCCACGGACGAGGAACCGACGGAGGGCAGCGCTCGAGCTTTCAAGCAACACCAAATTCGGACTGCACCGCTTAGAGGTTTCGATAGAGAGCTGTGATCCCGGAGATTCTCCGCTCAAGTTCATTCTTCTTCCCTTTCAGATGGTTTCCGCCGATAGATAAGCGTCTATGAGCTGAAACAACGGCTACCACTAACACTCGATAATCTCTGAGAATCTGAGAGAAATGAACGATTTCTTCAAAGTCGCCGATGGTCTCCAAGGGGACACTGAAGCCAGCGATAAATTACTGACTTCTGGAGAGGAAGTCCCGCAGAACACCGCGTCCGCTCAAGCGCCAACTCAAAAGAAATCGGTGAGTTCCCCTTCCCTCAATTTCCTGTTTTCCGAGGTCGGCCGAACTTGTGCGGCTCCCGAACTCGGGGAGATGGGATCCTCATACAAAACTTGATGTGATCGAACCTGCCAAAATTGAGGAGTTCTAGCCGTTCGCCAATGGACGGGGATATCGGTCAAGGTCGATGAAGCGCCGTGGACAGCTCGCAACGTTAGCGGTTCTGGTGCTCGCCTACTTCGAAGCGGCTTCGGAAACTGTGTGCTTCCCGCACGGACGTCGCGATCTTGAAGGCAGTTATGGAATAATGCTGAACGATAGTCGACAGAAATGTGAATGCTTACAAGAAAGCTCAAATCGCTTCACCAATTGCCTCTCAAAGGCTGTCCGCGGCATTTGTAGGGATTGTCCATTCCCGCCCAAGAAGATCGTCCTGAGGCGGACGACAGGGGACCTTCCAGTTCATGATTAATCCTCCGTGGTCGAGAGTCTTGCGTATGTTCCTCCGGAGCTGATTTCGACTCATGAATCCCGCGAATTGTCCGACTCACAATAAGAAAGAGTTTTCTCTTGCCGCGAACCGTCTCGAAATCTCCGTGAGACCGCCGACGGAATTCAGCCGATGACAAACATCTGCGCGTAATCTCCGATATCGATCCAGCAGAACGGTTGTCATCACAGCAGCCGGCCCCCTCATTCGGGACGTTAGACAACTAAAGACCCCCCTTGATTCCAGGCGGCAGCTGCTAAGATTGATTCCATAAGGAAAATCGCAGGAAACCTCAGCGGAGGTGGTATGGCGAAAGCTTTAGACGCGCTCGAAGATCGACAGCTATTCGAGCGTTCGGAAGCCGCAAAGAAATCGTCGGACCAGCCTGTTGCCCTTCTCCAGTCGAAGCTATAAGACCCAGTCGACGTTTCCAACTTATCGACGGGAGTAATGAATTTTAGGCTCAATAACCTGTGATCTTATCGTCCGCTGATACTTATTCTATTCGATGTGCTCTTGTCCATATCCCACTTTCATTCATGATATTTTTATGAATCGCTGAAAGTGTATAAATCCATTGACTCGACCTGAAGACTCTTCAATGTGACCTTTCAAGCATTGAAAGGCATCCGTACTGACTGATCCCAAGTCAAGCTCCAGAATATCCGCTCAAAATCTCCTGGGGCTGTATTGCCCAGCATGGCTCGGATTGAGCGATTTGATCTCCCTTGCGAATTGCGACCCGCGGTGACTTGGTGACACGGCTCAGCCGTTAGCGTTCATCGCCTCCCACAGGTTAATCTTTACTGCAATTATAGTCCTTCTGTAAGCTGGACGTGGAGAGTGATGGCGACTACACCCGTGAGGTCTATCATAGGGAAATGATCCAATCCGACTCTGACTCTAGAGCGCGAGCCACAGAGCGTCTCGAACGATAGAGCTCTCTAGGCTCGAATTTCGCGGGCTTTTTCTCTCCCCCACTCTCACCCAAGAAGCGACTAGTCGACCATAGGCTCCTCCGCCTCGGGCATGCGCAGGACTTGCGTTGGCGAAGCAGCTGATTGGAATCAGCTTTACAGTCGGCGAAGAAAACTGTATTTATGATCCACAAGGTTTTGAGAGGCATCATGACCAGCACATCACTCCGTGGTAAGCGCCGAAGGGAGATGTTTCTAAGAGATATCGAGAGCTTGTTCAGTTCAAAATGATCCGGCAGCGGATCGGACGAACTCCCTATTAGAAGAAATCGTGAACCGGCGAAGTTCTCTTTTTCCCCCGAAATGAGCTGGGACTTTTTCCAATCTTTCCTCTATCGTCCGTCTCTGGGGAGCTCGGTCGAGCTCAGATTCTCGGCGATCGACTGTGAGGACATCGTCGCGGGTCTACCGGCTGCCTTAGTGATATTTCCGAACGCGGCGCATGTGGATGTGAAGAGTTCCGCGGAGCCAGAATCCTGATGAATGATCATCGAATAGCAAAACTGATGGATAGCCGTGGGACAGTCCTGTCGAGTACAATGTCATATGGGAAAAACTCGTTCCGCAAGACTTGGGTGCTGGCCACGGTGGCACGGCCGTGTTCCTGCATCCGTACCTGGGGCCGAAGTCCCCGCCCGCAAGCCTATTGCAGTCTTCCCACAGTCTCCATAAGTGCATTCGAAGCACTTTTCAATGCTTGGAATGCCTCAAAAAGGTCACCGTCCTCTTCAGGGGATCCGAGTCCCGCGAGAATTACCCAGCCAAACCAATTAGAAGTCTCTTCTTATCCAACCCCTAGAAATGCGTAAGCCCTACAAAGCTATATGGGATGTCCTACGCGAGGACAAACTCCCGAAGAGAGAACCGGTCGCGCTCTTCGATCATTGGTTCACCGAAGCGAAGGACTCAGGTCAGTTCCTAGTTCCTCCCAGATTTTCGCCTTTCACAAATTGTGTGTGTGGCGGGTAGCTTTGATTGAGCTACACCTGGAGCGCCGACGCGCGACGCGGTGTAGCTCAATCAGAACTGTTTTCTTCTGACAGGACACACTTTCGAAACTAATGCGGTCGCTGTTGCTTCGGCGACACCGGAGGGAATACCCTCTGTGCGAATGGTTCTTCTGAAAGGATTCAACGAAGATGGATTTGTGTTCTTCACCAATTACGACTCTAGGAAAGGACGCGAATTGGTTAGTAATCAAATTACCATCGGGATTCCAATCATACTCTCGATCGTTGTCCTCGACAATGATTTCCTTGCAGTTGGCTAACCCGAAAGCGGCGATGCTCTTCTATTGGGATCAACAGCATCGTCAAGTCCGCATCGAAGGGAAGGTTGGGAAAATCTCACGGGAGGAGAGCGAAAAATACTTCCACACTCGACCTCGGGGGAGTCGAATTTCTGCTCTACTCAGTAAACAGAGTACTGTAGTCGAGTCAAGAAAGGTGAGAACCCCGATATTTGGATGGAGGCGGGTGATCCACCCTGGTTGGACTCCTCATTATTTTCGCCAACAGGTACTTGACGATGAGCATGCGGCCCTAACCGAGAAATATGCCGATGAATCCAAGGAGATTCCGTGTCCCGAAAACTGGTGAGTACTTTGAGCAACTGCTCCACCGCTTCTGACCGAAGACGTGTTCCCGAATTGGACATTTCATCTCACATCTTTATTTTATATTATCGGTATTTCAGGGGTGGCTTGATCCTGGTCCCCGAAAAGTTCGAATTCTGGCAAGGGCAGACCTCTCGACTCCACGACCGACTGATATTCCGTCGACCATCGTCAAAGGTTGAAGAAGATTCATCCGAGTTCGGATGGTTTCTAGAACGCCTTGCCCCGTGAAGTGGTCTCGAATGTGGTCAGGAACCACCGGGATGGATCTGCTACCGACGTTCGAATATTCTACTTCGTTCGCCGGCGCTGGCAGCAAAGGAGTGTCTTCCATAAGCAGTATCACGCAGATGATATCGGGTAGCAAGAGCGACGTGAGACTCTCCCGCAAGAATGCAATGCGATGAGGGCTACTGTCAATAGACCGGATCGTGTGGAAAATATAAAAAATGTTATATCGCCTGAGGAAGGGTCGTCTCATCCGATGTGTTTGCGTCGAGTCGGGCGAATGCGTTGGATATAATGAAAGTACTCGCGGCTAGCCGTCCCGAAATCGGGGAACTTTGGAAAAAATCGGATGTCCTTCTTTTGCCCGGGCTCGACCGGAGCCAGATTTCCATGAGAGACGCAGAGGATGGAACTCTTGGGACGGTGATTTTCCCCATATCGGTCGGGCTCCTCCGCTAACTTGTCATCCTTTTATAAATTATGAGCGACTGATTTTCGGAGGATTTTCTGCGGTACGAACAGTATCGTGGGCGTTTCTGATAACCCCTTCTGTTGACACCCTTAGGTATGTAGCCGAGGAGATCAACAAAATAAGTGAGTAGGTGAAGGAAATGAGGAGCGGCAAGGTCCGCATGCCTAATCTATGGCACATTGGAGCCGACTAGTGGACACAATGTGGGACAGCCCAGGCTAGCCATCAGAGGCAGCCGATTCTCACGGTCATTGCGGAAGAGAACGTTGCGGAGTATATCGTAGAATGGTATCTATGACCGGTCGAATATCCGGAGGAGGAGATGAATAAAATGCGGGCGGAGTTCAGAAAAAGGACTCTGTCGCATAAAAAGGTCATAGGTACCGAAAGACAGGTACGAGCAAGTGTGCCGGGATTGAGCTCTTCCCAGCCGCAGGCGGGAAGTTCAGGTCATCAATACAGGTGGACTAGGGGAGCGATGAGCACCCCGGTCGTCCGCGGACGCAAGAAAATCCTCGGAGAAGGTCAAGATGATTTGGAATGCATGGCCGGAAATTGCATGGCTGGATAGAAGGTCATGAAATACTTAGTTAGTGGAATGCACAATGGGTATCGAAGAGATAGAAGGGGGGAGACTGTATCTCCATTGTCACCTCTACCACAGAAATGACGAGAGCAGAGAGGAGGGGGTCGAAAGCCACCTTCTTGGATTGCTCGAAAGCATATGACAAGGTGGAACGAGCGAAACTCTGGGAAATTCTGAGCGAATGTGGAATGTCTCACAAGCTGATATCTTCGCTTAAGCTGATCATCAGCCACAACTCAGGCGTCCTAAACGCAGGATCGAAAAGATCGATAAGTATCGAGCAGGAACAGGGTCTGAGGCAAGGGTGCGCCCTGTCGCCATCCCTTCCTGTCCATGCTGTACATCTCGAAGTTGGGGAAAGAGCTTGTAGAATCAGGAATGGAGTGGCGATCAGGACCTCAGAAGATATATTCGAGATCAACGGAAGAAGAATTATTCCAGGAGGGTTATACGCAGATGATCTACTTCTGCTATCGCAGTCTGAAATGAATCAGTTGCTGCAGATCACCACAGAAGTGGGGAATGAGTCAAAGCCGAGAGATTCCGGGAGCCCGATTCCTGATGAGGAGATTTCCCTGGAACACCCAATGAGGTTCATCCGTGAGAGCCTCTCTCCGGAGTAGCCCGCTGGCGAGCCCCTCGAGTTTTCCTAGGATCCTCGGAGGTAATTGGGAGAGGCGGTCCGAAAACGGAAGGTTGGCTCAAGTTCTATCAGGATTCCGTTTACCTGAAAAATTCTATCAACCTAATCTAACCAAAGACACAATCGGCGCGGCGAGGCTCCGAGAATCGAGGTATGGACGGTCCGGGAGTTTTCGAAGTGACGGTTTATACTTTTATAGAGCTCACGAATGATTCTCAAATGGGAATGCGGTTCTATACGAGGAGCTAACGACGCCGAGAACGTATAGCGTGAAGGCTCATCTCACCGCCTCCATGCAGTGGTTATGTAGCGTGGATTTGTCAATCTCAAGGGCGTCCTCCCAGCTTTAGAATACCATAGGGGGCGGATTTCCTTGATAACAAAATCGCCGATTCAGTATCGATTCGGATCTATTTTAGTCAGCCATACTCAGCTGGACTTCTGAGCTCGAGCCGCGAGGAGACTCGTAGGAGCGAAGCGGTGAGATTCATTTTCTCCTCTGGTAGTCTCAAATATTCATTCATTCAAGCGCACGAGGATTATTCAGAAATTCAAACCACCTCGCCATACGAGATCAAAGACGCCTAGAAAGTTCCTAATGGCGGTCGAGGCGTTCCTGGAGCTCCTCGTCGCCCCGGGGGAAACTTACGAGGATAATCCTCTCGATTCGAGCCACTCGACGACGCTCATATCCTGGAGGGCTTTCCGGAACGCAATTCCAAGAATCTTCCGAGGTATGAAGACTCCGTCACATGAGCTGCACGAATCTAGCCCGGGAGGGGATAGTCCCAAAAAAAGAAGGAGTCAATCCGATCCAGCGTCGGAACTCCGTGCTCCTGTCAGTAATTCCCATGTTTGGGGAGTGACCCGAAAGCCCCCGCAGACGCGCTCGGTCTCAGCTGGCGTTCTGCGAGACAGTTTTCTACCTTGGAAGGAGCGCTGATCCAAGAAGGATAGGAGGCAGGCGAACTAGTCGTCCTGGTCGAGTTTTCCGGAGGGCGCTGGAAGGGAGGAACGACAACGTTTGCCGCAGGTTCTGTGAGCCCTGCCGTAGGTAGCGCGAATCGGCTCAAGGTCATCCAATTTGGAGAGAGTGACATTACTCGGGGGATGTCTGCGACACTCCTCTAGAATCGGGAAAAAGTCCCTCCAGCTCTCTATCTTCGGACAGTAAAGGCCACGTTCCCAAAATAGAAACCCCAAGCCCTGCGACGCTCTCTGCCAAAGGTCCCCCTGTAGCTGGGTCTCTCGCTTCCTCGCTCTGTCCTTCCTTCCCTCCCTCCCACATGTATGGAAGCTCGGCGGCGCGACTCTTTCCAGAGGCTTTTGTACGGCTGGCTGTTTTCGGCTTACGAGATTTCCAGAATGAGAGGAGGAAATAAAAGTATATTTTTACCCGGATCGACTCGAAGATGGAGGGAAATCGCCTGAGGACCGGAGGGCTCCGGAGCAACTCAGCTTCTGAGGAATTCCGAGTTCGTAGCAGGAGAGATGTGGAGGGAAGAAATAATACGCGAGATTTAATCGATCCATCGGAAGCTGCCATCACGCTTCTCTCACGCAGCCTCGCCACGGCTCGGGATCGTGGGCTCTTGAATGAGCTGCGTATCTGGGCGATTCCGCGATCCGCAAGGAAAAGGATTCGGAGGATCCCGGGTGTACCGGGATGCGACGCTTGTTTTATTCGCCAATGCGAGAAAGAATTGAGATCCTTGGCCAAGGGGGAAGCATAGTTTTGCGCTGGAGAGATTTTTGCCCTCATTTTGATTGTCGATATGAATATCCTCGATGTGTCGATAAGGTTGGTCCAAACGTTGAGATGATGGCATCAGTTTGGCCGAGGGGCCTCGTTCCGCCCCTAAAAAACGCTCTTTCCTTCGGCAAAAAAGCATTGAAGTTCCACCCATTCCGCAGCCAAGTGAGCCTGAGCCGTACCGTCTTCGGATCGAACCTGGCTCCCGATCCTCCAAGCAATGCGCTGACGTCTTCTCGCTGCCCCCAGGGTCAAATAGGTCTAGGTATAGAGCCATAAGTGATCACAACATGCGCAAACTTAGCGTAGATGGTAACGCAATGCATTCTCGCGTGCGACCTCACGATATCTATCTGCTCGAATGCACAGCTTGCATTGCAACTTTGGGTCACATGGCCGGGAAAAAAAACACTCGCAGGGAGAAACGAAAGTGTCGAGGGATGAGAAACAAGCGATCCCCTGTAATTTCGCTTCGGAATCATGTGCTCCTGGGAGACTTCATGTGCAGAACCTTGATCGACGGTCCCCAGTCGCGGACTCTGGCATCTGATCCGGGGATATCGACTCGCCTCTGGATCTGCCTTGAAGCTCTCGGACGATATCCTGTTTCACTGGAAATCATGCGGCGAATAAGTCGAGTGCTCAAGAATAACGGGCATCGCAGCATTATTTAGGAAAACCGTCTTTATTATCATGAATTGTTGAATATAAACTTAAAAATATACCAAAAGTATGCTGTATCGGGTTCTATACCGGCTCAAGAGTTGAGTTCCCGTTCGCGGCTCCGCTAGTTCCGCAGGGGTTTGATTCGCAAAATTCGCTCCGAGTTCGTCCGCCTCGTGCTTGAACGGGAATGAGACCCCAGCAAAGTCACTGGGGAATTCTGCCTCGTATATCGTTCCTCTTTTGACAGTAGAACAGGATTGGAAGTTACCAATTCTAAATCTGTCTCGAAACACAACTAATCAATTTTCCCTAGAGCGATTATTTTAGATGGATTCTTCCTCGATATTTGGGTATACGACCAGATAAATATCATAGATAGAGAAACAATGTCGACCGGGATGATCTCGCGGACGACACGACGTCATCGAGTACACAAGCATAGATAGGTTTAGGCTTCAGACTCTTCAAGGTGTTCGTACCGAACTCCTGGCTCTCGAACCAGACCAGAGATATTTCTTCTACGATGGCGGATCTTGCTTCCTCTGCACACAAATATACATCTGACGCTTGTCCACCTGGATTCGAGGCTCCGTCACCTTATAAATTATTATTCAACCATTTGAGGAATACGAAAAAATAGAATCGGATGGCGAACGAAACGAAAAACTTAATGAACTAGGTCAGTATCTGCAATAATCCCTCCTTGATTCAGAGTTTCGATTCTCTGCTCTGAGGAGAAACCATATCTGGATTATCGAGTCATGAACGAGCTCCGCCGGCGCCACCGTGCTCACGTTCGGACACATTCCACGATGAGTCCGGACAGCGGAGAGACGCCATGGAGCTTATCTGGGTATCCGTGTTCTGATCGACTATTTGTCGATATCTAGGTAACCTAATGAGGACTATTACCCTGACAGTCGCTTCGATCATTAAACCTCTCTGATCATTTTCGGTCTAGCGCAGACTGAGAGCATCCTCGTCGCGCTCCCTCAGCGATTTATCTCCTCTCGAACGACACGCTCATCGCACTCGTCATTCTTTTCTTCTCCATGAATATTTTATGCATTAGTAAGAAAGGTTCGGCACTCGGGAGTTCCCGTGAGTGCTGTGGCCTTCGGGCCGTAAAATCTCATCGAGTCATCTACGAGGGGTTTGAATGGATATAATTATCACGAGGCGACGCGACGTGCATGGAAATGCCTCCCACGGTCTGGCGCGATTCTCCTCCGGTGCAGCAGGCAATAAGAATATCCAAGAATCAGACATACCTACATGTTGCTAAACGAGCTCCGGGGGAGTAGCTCACTTCCTAAAGGGAATAATAATCCTCCGATCTAGCAGTTCTGCTTGTATTTTTTCTTCAAAAATAAAAAAGCCTCCTCCATTCGCGAACGAATATCAGTAATGAAATTCATCCATACTGATTTCTGAGCGGACCTTGCTCGCCCGCTCGCTTCGCATTCCTTCTCCTCCCACGATGGGAGCGCAATAACGATTTGAGATAGGACGCAGAGGGAATATTCGGTGTCTAGTTGTTTGTTTACTGGAAAAGCAGTACTGCAGTACCGCAGCACGGCATTCAACGCTGGTAGAAATTGACACAACGCGCAGTAGGGAAAGTGTTTTCATGGGAAACAAGTACGTTCCGGCCTCCTACTTCGGCCCATTATGATAATCAACAGTTGCATCGATATAACAGACAACGATTTCGATAATTGCAATCATGAGTAACCAGAATACGTTGGTCCCGTCGACGGCAAGCCCGAGCGCACGTACGCTCTTGATTGCGGTGCGACGGTTTTCGATTCCAACGAGTAGCACGGAATATTTTTTGCAGCTTTAAAATATTAAAATATAATTTGCTAGACAATAGTCAACATGGGCCGCTCCACCGAAACATGGAGATAGTCGGAAGAGACCAAGGGATATCGGGGAGAGGCGAGCGGCCTCTCGTCTCTCCTGTCCCGTGTGGGGACGGGGAAAGTTCGCAATATAGTGTGTCTTCGATTTTGGCGCTTCCGATTTCCCCGCGGCCGATTTTCTGCGGAAGAAATGCACCCGCAGGATTCGATTGAGGAAGTGTGTCAGACGCAAATACCTCTTCCGTAGGTTCCTCATGGCTTGGTACAGCTGCAGAGGGTTTCTGGGATTCCGTATCGGAAAGTTGGGAAAAACTAGATCAATTCGTAGCTGGATTCGCACTCCAGCAGGGAGACTGAGGTCAGCCACAGTCCACTAGTTTCGAGGGCAGCGTTGATGGAGATTAAAAAGAAATGGTTGGAAAATTCAATCTGTCCGCCCGAATCACTCTTTGATGGGCCTTCCGTGATAAACTCAGTGCAAAGTGTGGTACATTAAATTCACATACGCTGCGTCGAGGCGAGTTCCCCGCAAGAGTTCTGAATTTCGAAAACCGCAATTAAAGTCGTACCTCGACTAAATCAATCAAATCTTCACTGTGCTCCGAATGGTGCGACTCATAGCGTAGTTCTTCCGTTTCACGAGCCCGAGCCGTAACTTACGAACTCATCGTCGACGTTATATAAAAGTATAAAACCATTTCCTTTGAATGGCAGGGATATCCGATGAGGAACGAAGCCGTGGTGTTCCGAGCTGGGAACGGAGCGATTTTCCAGCTACGGATCTTCCTCGGCTCCACGAGAATTGCCGGTCCGACCCCATCTAGTTGGAGGCCACGAGAAGTTGATGCGATCCCGTTGATGAGTACGGGATTGAGAACTCGGTGTAATCTCCGTTCGACGACGGTGGACTCGGGGACGTCGACGATACGTTACCCGCAGACGTCGACAACAGTGAGGAGCCTGCAAGAAGTCTTCTCATATAATCAACTACGAGACTACACCTGATGATAGTTGGCGGAGTTTAATACTGCCGCCCGCGTCGTGCTGCGTAACGAAGCGACACTTTGTGGCAGCCATTACATCCGCTTGTTAACTTCTGGCCTGCTCGAGCCCGGCTTCCTTCATTTCCCCCTGTCTGCATCCGCTTGCGGAAACTTTGCCGGCTTCCACTTGGCCTCGTTGCACTCATCCGTTGAGTTGAACAGCTCTCGAACTTACCGAGTGGATGTGGCACCGAGACTGAGAGATGGTTTGGTGATCCACGGGTTTGCATGGTGTACGATCTTGTCCGGGTCGGGGAGCGCGCGAAATCCGCCGGGTAGTTAGACGGGTAAAGTGACCCCACGTTCCCTGTGTACATCATAGGCTGCTCGGCTGCGAATGAGGAAGGGTGAGGGCTGAGAGATCTGGGTCGCTCGAACATGGGTGAGATATTGCCACGGAGACTCATGACGGACAATTGCTGTTGGGCGGCCTGTGGATACAAATGCCTGTCACGTACAAAGTCACGCCCGGTAACAACTCTCGATATCCTCATCCCCGGTGAGGAAGGGCTCCGTTCGACCTTTCGGCGATGGGAGAAGTTCCTAGCGAAACGTCGCGTACGAACCTGTTGCGCAATTGCGCGTTGTTTGATGTAATTAGAGAACTCGGTCGATGACATCCGTGTGCCATTGTTTCGCTTAGCATTGCTTTTGAGCTTCGTTGATCCAAACTTGGTCTGCGCGAAGCTCGCCGTCGTGAAGGTCAGAGGTTGCGCCGATTTGTTCAGGAAATTTGGTGGCGTAGGAGAAACGCTCTTGTAGGACGACGAGGGAGACGAGCCAGAACTGAACGATGGATCGCAACGCTCACAGTCTGCAATGTGGTCGTCGGTCAGTCGAGATCGCGGGCAGTACTCCCCCTCGATGGGGTTTCGAGGGTCCTTAGAAGACCAACTCAATGGGTTACTCACTCGGATTCGGCGTCGGTGAGCAGTTGAGGCAATCTTCCACTTGCAGACCGTTGAGCTGCTGGGTTAGAGCATCGACCGGTTTGAAGCATTGCGCCTCAGGATTGAACGTTTTAATTACTTCGCGATCGGAGCGTTCCTCTATGCAGTTGGACTCGCTATAGAGGACCTTCACTGGACCTTTTTCGCTCATCTGATAAGATACCTGGAACATTCCTCACAAAACTCAGAAATCTATTCAAAGCATAAACGCATCTAGCAAATACACGCGTCGCTGCGGATAGCAGGCCAAGGAGGCGATCTATCGGTATCGGGAGAGCGCTACGATTTTAGCCGAAGAAATATGCGAGCTGAAAATAATTCCATGTACGTGTACGAACCTCTCCGGGGTCGATCCATATGGAGAGCTCTTGTGGGAGGTTTTCCTCGATATCACGGATATCTACTCCCGACTCGCGAGCTGCTATGGCGAAAACAGGATCGAGAGGTGGTGTCGTTTTCACGCAGCGGTAAGCCGAGCCTTTGAATGGTTGGTCAGGATACCAGTGGCCCTAGAGTGACAAGCGAGCACCCAATAGAATCGATAGCACATCAACTCTCAGGCGACAGCAACTCCTAGGCTATCATTCATGCCTTCGCGTGCTCGAGCGCTGTCGTCGAGAACAGATTTGCTGCATGTTCGCTGTATGTATATCCGAACAAATGTGGAATCTGAGCTCGATTCCACAGAGACCGTTTTCCTCATGGAAACTCACCTGGAATTTTACTTGCAGAGCTTTTTCGAGTTCTTCTCCGAAATGGTTCACTCGACGTCTGGGGAGTTTGTTATAGAGGAAGGAGATCAGGAAATTAAGCGCCACTTGAAGCTCCATCTGCCCTCAGTAACCACCAACTCGCTTCGTCGGACTCCACCTGCAGAATTCAATTACTCCTTTTAGCCTGAGCCTGAGATGGAGATGGAACAAGTTGCGTTTAATTAGACAAATGAAGGTGCCGCGCTAGTCCGGAGGACGCTTCTTAGCTGGGCAGACCGGCGTTTCTCCCAGGGACTGTCTTCCGATACCGCATCGTTCGAGCAGCAGCGCCGTCAACTTTGGGAAATCACTTTGCTCTGGCCGAGGGGGCGTCGAATGACGTTCCTTGGACTCTCAGTTCACCCGGGGGTCGTAGCTCGAATCGACGAAATCGAGAGACCGCCTACATCCGGCTAGGGCGCCCTAGCAGACTTCGTTGCAATGCCCCAGCAGAGCTCATCGCGGTATAGATTCGGCTCGGTTGAGTTGGACATGCATCCGGTCGCCGACAGAGTACGTCGAGTGTTTTGTAATCGAATATTGAAATATCTGAAGGGGGCATCGTATGTTCTTTTTCCCCCGCGAGAGCGATTACGCGTTATAACGTGACATAATCAGAGAGTCTACGGTTTGAGCTCTGCGGAAGTCTTACGTCAGAGCCAGTGCGATTCGGACCAAAAAGAATCCCGACTGCCCTATTGGATGTAGGAGATCATGGTACAGGTGGGACGTTTCCACCAGACTGAGACCTCTTTTTCACGTCGGTCGCGGCTTGGTACGCCGTCGACCGAGACGCTTTTTAGTGGTTCGAGCAACTTATCGTGGGCACGCAGAAATCTGTCGTGATCTCGAAATAAGGCGAGTTCAGACAGCGATTCAGTTGGGAATAGCCGCTCCTACAGAATCAATGGCTGTGAGAATGGTTGGCGCAGAATGCTCTGGATAGTAGTCGTAGAACATATACGTGCTCGAGAGGTCCCGACTGATGAAGTACAACGAGGTCCTTACGGAGGAGCGAGAGTCGTGCCGTTTACCCTCACCCTCGGATGGCCTTGGCACTAAAAATAAAACTGTGCCTCCGTATCGATCCCCCGCAGCCTGCTCCCATTCGAGACTATCTCGTACTGAAAGAACGAGCGACCGAATGGGCCAGCCGGCCACCCAGCCGACAGACCTAGCGTCCTACCAACTCAGCGACGCGCCGATTGGCCGGCTGTCAGACGTGGAGACGCACTCCCCAGACTGCCTACAGCACCGACAATATCTATCCGTATCGAGTTTGTCTGGCGCGCGGCCCGTGGACACCCCTATCGAATCGACATAAATAGAAAGAAGCATTTGGGAAAGTATCGAATCTACGCTTATCGGGACGACCGGTCGACACATGAAGCGAATTGGCAGCGGCTTCCGAACCGCAAACACCGGCAGCGGAGACCTTGACAATGGGTTTTCGGTCCACAACCGCTCACGCCGACAAACAGGCAGACACACACAGCTGTTAGCAAGGTCAATGCACTCGTCGATTATTACTTTCGTGAAGGGCCCGTTGCGATGGATGGGGATCCGCAACGAGACCGACGAATGCTGCCCTTTCGACTGAATCAATCGGGGATCTGGAGGAATTGAGACAACAGATCGACCTTCCAAATTGCTAGAGGTTTTTCGCTCTCAAGAAGAATCTGCTGAGAGGGCTGTTCTCGTGACCGGCCGTCGAATGAACGGAAGACCGACCGACCGACCAACTCCCACCGCATCAAGCCTCCTCTGCCAACCTACAGATCACTCATACTCATAGTCTGCTCGGCTAAGGCTGCTGCCAAGCTGCTGGGCTAGCTGGCGCACGGAGACCTAGAAGTGGAACCACAGCTAAACAGTCAGACCCTTGAAGCCAACAACGATCTCACCGGCCTATATTTCTATGAGATTCTCATTTGAGCTTCGACCATATGCTCAGCTCATAGGCGGAGGGATCGCAAAATCTCGTCGAACGAGACCGTCTCGAATACTGAATTCATCGATTGCTACCCCGCAACGGGAACCTCCGCTCGCTCGTTGGGAATTCGAATCGCTCTCATTCTATAGACTGTGCAACGGCTTCCCTCACGTCGGTTCCGGGCTGATTATTATCGAGCCGATCCCTGAGTTATACCGTAGACGGAAGCAGCAGTCGTATTTTCCGTCCAATATGGAGCTCATTCTGGCGTCCGATTGCCGCGCTTGATGCAAGTCCTCCGCTCTGCCTTAGCATGTGATTCGATCGAATCATACACAGGCAAACACCTCGAGCCATGGATAGGGTCCGACAGGCGCGCGCACATGAGATTTCGAAGCCTTGAACATTGCATGTGATGTCTATCAAATCTATAGCAGTGGAAGACATCGACTGACAGACTGACGAGTCGCTGACAAGTTCCGCCTCATCGACCGGCGACATCGAAAAATTAGATACATCGAAAAAACCAGACCGATAAGTCATCTTCAGACAATCATCCGATCGTCGACGATATTGTCTCTCAAGAGACCTGCCGTCACGCTGGCCAGGACTCCTCCCCCCTTAGGGGCCGGGACAATATGGTGGCATATTCCTTGTCGTTGACATAAAAGTGACCCTAATCCATCTGGTCGGGAAGTGCCCACCTCGCAGACGAGACTCAAACAGGCTCTCCGACTGGACAGGCTTGTCAGTCCTGCAAAGTTCCCACCCACCTCTTCGAAAGTCGAACGGAAGTTTCCTACGTCGTCGGCCGGAACTTCGTCGAGAGTGACAACGGTAGTTGTGATGATGATGATGATGACAACGACGACGATAACAACAACAACAGCGACGACGACGGCGACTAACACTGAAATGCTTCGAACGACGTTGGAAGGCGACCCTTCATCGAACTGGTGGCAATCTACGGAACGCAAGCAGCCATGGCTTTCGTTCGCGAATCGCTCAGATGTTATGCCCGCTGTCTCCAAACGTTGTGACGTTGTTCTGGAGCCGCTGGAGAACGCGAAGCTTGCCTGGCAATCTGACTACCCGCGACTAGACCGCCGCGCCATCGCAAGCTCTTTGGAGGAGAGTTGCGCGTGCGCATCTCTGGAAAGGAGGGAATGCTTGAGGGAGGCCTGCGAGCGACGAGAGTCACTCAGACGACCGCACTAACCAATAGACTATCGGACAGACGGATAGACAGACAGACAGGCAGATCTACCCAGACAACCCACGCAAAATCACACTGGACGGAAAACTCTCGTCGCCTGCAACATGCGTAGGCGGCAAACTCAACGAGACGACAACCGAACAGCGTAGCTCGCCACCGGACCCATCCTCTATCTCCCACCTGCAGACGCACTGCGACCCCAATCGGACTTCGGCCGGGAATCTCTGAGGAGCGACCTCAGAGCCTGAGCCGTCTTCCCGGCGAGACCCACTGCCCTCGTTCGACTATTCGACTATCACTTAGCAGCATCGAGTCTGATGTTACGGAGAATGAATCCACCGAGAATCCCGCGGTACCGATCGCAATCCGCTACGAAAATTTCCGTTCCTATCGGAGGGTCTCGGCTGTGCGAGGTCGTGGTCGGCTTCGGAAAGGGAAAATCCCCAGTCCGAATGCGAAATGGCGGACTGGCCAGATCAGACCTCGTTCAAGCACTAAACAACTTCTCCGATCTCCTCTGGCGTCCGCCTCGAGCTCTTCTCGTCATCGTGGCGTGGTTCTTTCTCTTGAAGACGCTCTGGCTGCTCAGCAACCGTGCGCCTCAATCGAGATAGGAAGGTATTTCCTCGTCAGCCACTCGGACGACTCATTCTCACATTCAGTCATTTTCAATGAAGTAGGTACATGCGTCATTGACTCTCACATTCCGATAAACAACTATGTCGGGAGACAAACTGTGGATCTTGCTCGCTACCTCTAGATCTCAGGTATAAAGAGCCCGAACTCCTTCCTTTCCTCTTCGCCGAGTTTCGCAGAATCGACGACCCGTGGAACCAGAGAGGGAAATCGAGAATGTATTTTCGATCGGAACATTCGAAGAACAAAAGAACGAGACGTCTCACTCAACTTCTGTGAGCTAACAGTCTGGATCATCGGTCGAGATGGATGAATTCCGAGGGATGGCAAAAATATATTTCAACTTCAGTGCGGAGACCAATAAGCTTCGAGACATGTCGTTTTCGTCGTGTCTCCGCCATCGTACTCAGCCAGTAGGAGGCTCTCGAGCGCTCTTCGGGCGTACCACTCGATAGAGCCTTCTCCATTCTCCACGTCCCTGCTCGGCCTGCTGGAATCCCCTACACAGGAAGGAAGGAACGGAAGGATGACCTTTGAGAGTAATCCCAAGCAGTCTCATGTTTTCAAGGCCAACTTGTCGTATTGGTCGTCGTTCGTTGACGTCACGCGAGCCCATTGGTCCTCAGCTGTTGACGTCACCGGAACGTCAACAAGAGAGGGTTTCGTAAGTGAGGGAGGGAACACCTCAGAGAGGGGTCAAGGTCGACTGAGGCTTCCAAACGCCACTGCCGAAACTTTCTGACTGGAATCAGCTGGAACTCGAGCTATAAAACGTTATCTCCTCTCCCCCCCCCTCGAGCGGGGTTCCTCCCCCGACCGAGATCGTCCACGGGAGCTTCCGACTGCCTCGTTCTCGTCGCCCACGTTCCCCATCTGACCCCATCGCCGTAGTAGCACGTAGTAGCGCATAAGTATAAATGGCATATAAGCGTTCTAAAAATAGACGCCACGATCCTCAGTGGCTTTTCCGGCGCGCTCGTGAGGCATCTGTCAATCTCTTTGAAACCAACCCTCACTGCAGGCACTCCGTGGAAGGCTATCGCTCTACTACCTGTTTGCAGCAGTCGCCGTCGACTCGGTGTGCCGCGTCTAGATGCAGCCGAAATAACGAACGACCCGTCTCTCGGAACCCGTATGACAATCAGCTGTTCCCTTATGACTCGGGCTTGGTGTCTTTTGAAGCTGCGCCTATTATAGGTCATGTCCGTCGTCACCTTCCGAACTATCAGGCCTGCCCTGAAGCGTCAATTGCGTATCATGGGTTTGCACGGGTCATTCCGATATTCTGGGAAGGCAACGCTCCGATTCGCCATTGAGACTTCTATCTTT